TTCTCTAATCAAATTTATCTGTATCAAATGTCATTAAGTTGGTAGAAAATTCAACTTCAGTTATCACTGGCAACCCTTACACTGCCGCCGGGATCATGCAAAGAGCATAGGGAATTTCACTGGTTCTGGCATGAAGAAGGTCCTTTCACCTTTACTCTGTACTGCAAATACTCCTACAGTTCATAGACAGGAGGCCCCACAGGAACCCATGCTTCCTTGTTTTCCTCCAGTTGAAGGAAAGATTTACCTGAAGATCATGAAGCCTCCCCGGAGGACTCCCAGTAGCACCTTAAAGAGCCATGGTGTTATCCACTGATAGTTCTAGGTCATCCACATTCTCCCAAGAAATATTTCTTCTCTCCCAAGTTGCCCATATCCATCGCTACCCTCCAGGCACATATCTATCCTTTCTTAAACAAAGCCAACATAGACCATTCAAAGAGTAATTATGAACTCTTAGGGACTCTGAGACAAGAGAATGCAAAAGCTTGCTTAGCTTCGCGGAGCCACAATAGGAACAATGTATAATATAGTTATAGAAGGTGACCACTGTATTGTTACTGAATAGAAAGATAATGGGAAAACTAGTACAATGCAATTGACTAGAATTCCTGCACGAGCTTTCAGTTGAATAACTCACAAGAAGCTAAAGAATTTGGAAAGGATCCACATGTGCCCTGGTATTAAGCATGTCATACCACCTTCCAGCATCCCTGCTACAGATTTCATGGTGGAAGAAAATTGCACCTGTACTTTCAACTGGATGATTTTGCATCTGCCGGGATATGAATTCTCTAAGATATGTTGTCTCTGATGTCCTATTTCGAAAGCAAGGAACTTCTCTGCCTTAGACCCTACTCTTCCTTGCTCTTCACTTCTATTTAAGCTCCTTGTGCCAGTTACCATCTGACTTGGTAATAGGCCTCTGCCCCTGTGAGTGGTGGCTGCTCCAACTACTCTCAAAGTGCCAGCATGGTCCACAAGAGAATCCACAGTTGAATGAGTGAAGTACCCATGGCACATTTGCTGTGAGATCCCTGGTTAACTGCTTTTATACACAGCATTCCCCTCACCATGACATTCCATCACATCACTGAGAACCACAACTGCTCTGCACTTCAAGGTGTTTGATGTCATACCACCTGTCCTCTGTAAATTCGGGGAGGAAGCTGCAGCCCAGAATCAGACCTTAATTGGTACATGAAAAAGCTGCTCCTCTGTCAGATGTGAGTACCATCCCCACAATGGGTAGCATTGTGACCCTGACCAAGACTTAAACCAGCAAGACTCCACAAAACAGGAAAGCACTGTCACAAACAAAATGTAAGCTCTAACCACAGACCAAAAGACAACCAGTGTGACTACTAAACTAAGCAAATAGGAGACACATTCATTGATACAATCTCATCACATTTCTTCCAGGTCTAAAATCTAATTTATTATTTGATTAGTGTATTTAAGGGTATTTGTTTGATTTGTAGATATTGCTAGTGCTTTGTTGTCCTTTTAATCTTATTTTGATCTTGGGTAAAAGAAAAATAACAATCCCTGCTTGCATGATGATATTACAACAAGTAATATCAAATAAATTATGAATAGAGGTAGGTGTCAGACACAATTAAGCTGCTGCTTGGGATGACTGTATTCCATATCAGTATGTCTGATGTGACTCCTTCTTCCTTTAGTCCTGACCCAGCTGTCTGATAAAGTGTGCCATGGAAGGCAGCACTGTGGCCCATGTACCTGGATCGCCACCACCCATGTGAGAAACCTGGATTAAGTTCCAGGTTCCTGGATTCAGTCTGGGCCATCTCTACTTTTGTGGGCATTTGGGGAGCCATCCGATAGAAACATTGATCAATTTATCTACCTGTCTGACCATCTATCTATAACTCTACCCTTCAAATAAAATAGAATTTTTAAAACTCATGTACATGTATTTTTAAAAGTTCAAAGTGTTATCTAAATATGATATATCATTTTCAATGAATAGAGGCCATCCTATTTTCACATAACAATACTTAAATCCTTCTTATTTACATAATCACCTACTGACAAAAGACTGTTACATTGAATTTTCAAGCAAAACAATGAAATAACTTTAGACAGTTCCATTATCATACAATTCCAATTAAAACAAGGGATGGAAGAGAAGTACTTAACTATTTTATTCTTTCCCAGATTATAGGATGTTCTGAGATTTTCATCCTAGTAAGGAAGTATTTATAATCTAAATCTCCTTACATCAATGTATATGCTCCTTCATAATTGTTTCCTCTAGTCTGAAATTTTGGTGAAAAATCAGCAGGCATTTAAATCTGGAATATATTAAATACCTTTGGGTTTGATTGAGTCAGATTTGTAAACAAATGATTTTCCTAAAAACATGAAGTCACATAAAATCTTTTACTATTAATGCCTTGTTCTCTTCTGACACCATAAATAAACCTCATTTCCCCTCAAGGTTTAATGAAAAAAACACACACACACACACATTTTAAAAATCTCTCTTTCGGCAAAGTTATTAGGTAATTGCTACCCACTGCCTTGTTCCTGGTTCCCTTCAGCTCCTAATGAAGAAAGTAAACAATGTTTCCAGTCAAGCACAGCAAGGAGCTGTGGGTTTTAAGCAGACTTCTACTATCTTGGCATTTCTACAAGGTCTGTTAGATGATTTACAGTGGACTGGCTGTGGTAAGCAGCCTAATCTCTACCAATGCCACATAAAATCAACCTTGCAACAGTTTGACATCATGGGCTATGGCTTCTGACCCACTCTTAAGTTCCTTTCTAGCTTCCTATCATTTTTACTAGGTTATCCTTAAAGCATCCATTCCACTAGCCAGGTCATTAGCATTCCTCTTCTCTATTTTGTTTTTATTTCAAGCCACACTTACAGATCTCTATTGTGGGCAGAATAATGTACCAGCTTCTGTGAGAAGATCTAGAAGGACCAGAATAGATCTGCCTCCAAGTGGCTTACAGTTGCACAAGGCAGAGACCCCAAGTAAAGTTACAGGGACAAGATGCAACAATGAAAAGTACCTGCCACATGGAAGTCTCTACAGAAACGATATAAAACCTTTAAGTAAACGATAAAAGATCAATAGGATCTGTTTCTGTAGGAATGCAGCAGGAACTATTAGACAATAGAAATGATATGAAACAAGGCAGTGAGCTGAGACAATTCCCAAGAAGGCTGGCTAAATCATTTGGGATACTACTGTGATAATGCTGCTCATGATTAATCAATGTAGAAATCTGATTTTGCTTCTGTTAAATGCTGCATTTAGTCACTATGGTTAGTGAGTGGAAGAACGAAGGAGGAAGGGAGTGTAAAGAACAAACAGATCATGCACGGTCCCTATCCTAGCGGATTTTAACAGTGACAAAGAGAAACATGCAGAAATCCTTATAACAAAATTCACTGCCATTGATATAGTCCCATTTTCCACTTTGCATCTCTGAACTAGCAGGATCACACAGCTCCCAAAAACTCGCAAATATTTTCATCCAGTTTTTAGCTTGGCTTTCCATCCACCCAACAGTCCTCCACAAGGCATAACTTCTTAATCCATTTTCTTTTTATGAGTTATAATTTTTGTAAAAATTTTAACATTTTGTTGACTACCTATAGATCCTGAAGATTTTCTCCTATATATATTTTTTAAAAATTTGCTTCTATTTTACCATTAAAGTCTATTTTGAGTTTTCATTTAAGATGCAAGACTTAGATTGAGATTTATTTGCCAATGAAAATCTTCTTGCTCCAATATCATTTGCCAAAAAGCTGTCTTTACTCCATCAATTACTTCTTTATCTTCTTCAAAAATGAGTTGCAAATATTTACTTTGACCCATTGTTGGGTTTCCTATTCCATTCCAGCAACCTATGATCAATCCTCTCTGCTAACCCTTTACAGAACTGGCTATTATTACTATACAGTAAAAAATCTTGAAACAGGATAGACTAATTAGACTAATTCATCCTGATGTGTATTCTTATTTTTGAAATTGTAGCTATCCCAGTTCCTTTACTTTTCCATATAAGTTTTAAATAATATCTTCCACACCTACAAAGCTATCAAATTGGAATATTTTAATTTCATTAAGACTGTGTGGCACCTTAGGCAGAATTGATACATTTATTTGATCTAACCAATGAATAAGATAGACTCCTCTATTTAGTAAGATCTTACTCAGTTTTTCCCATTAGTATTTTATATTTTTCAGTTTATAAATACCACTTATGTTCTAGTAAATAATCCTACTTACATGTATTTTCAGCAACCATAAAAGGTATTATACTTTTAATTTCAGAGTCCACATTAGTTGCTAGGATATTAAAATTCAAGTAAGATTTTTACATTTATGCTGTATTCATCAACCCTGGTATACTTAAATCTAGGCTTTTGTGTGTGAGAGAGAGTTCATTAGATAAGCCCATCATCTGTTAATAGAGGCAATTTTATTTCTTGTTTTGCAGTCTGTGTTTTCTTATTTCCTTTTTTGCCTTCTTAAAATAGCCATAATCCAAAAATTATGTTGAATAAGAATGGTAATAGTTGATAGCCTTACCTTGTTCCTGATCTGAGACAGTATTCAGTCTTTCATTGAGTTGAAAAAAATGCCTCCTTTTTGAACATTTTTATCATGAATGTTTTTATTCTTTAATATCAAATATGTTAAAAGCAATCAGTAAGATTTTCTCAGCCTTCAGAGAAATGATTTACAATTCCTACATTGAGCTTTGCCAAGTCCTATTCCTACCCAACCACTTTAAAGCTAAAGGGAAAGATAAAGAAAAGGGCAAGAATTACCACATAGTCTTGTCTTCCATGTGTACAGAGAATTCCCACAGAGTGTAAATTTACGAGTTGATCTCTTGTTCATTGTTAATTCCATGACTAACACTCCTTTATCCAAAAAAAAGTTTTTCTTTGGATAAACAGTATCATGAAAAAGAACACAGGATTTTATTTTTTCCTGCTTAGCACTTACCCCCTTGCTTGATATTCTGCTGTCAGAAGACTTCAGCCTTAGTGATGGTTTTAGTATGGGTCATCAGTGAGATCCAGGTTGGAATGTCTAAATTCAAATCAAAGAGATTAAATGTAACAAATCCTAGTCACAAATAGATTAATTAATTGAGAGTAACTATAATGCAAACTAGATCAGAAATAAAAATTAGAAAAAAACTTGCTTACGGAATAGTTGTTCTTTCCCTTCTTGGTTTTCTATATGAAAACACCTTAAAGTTATTCTATCTGCAAATATTAAGGAGCTGTCTCAAAATTTAAATTTTATGAGATAAAATTCTTGATCAATTCTCTACTTAGTTCATTTTTTTCTCATCAGTTCATTTAAGTATTAATATTTTATTCTAATATTTCACTTTAAATTTCACATAATCGTGTTCAAGAATTCTACAAAATGAGGATGTCCCTTTTAATCCCAACTTATTATAGGGAATTAAGCGTGAACTTTGAGAACAATTTTCTCCAACACTTTAAAGACACAGTTCTCTTCCATTTAGTTTGTGTAAGGAGTCAAGAAAACAATTAAATACCCTTGATCACTTCACAACACTGGCTTTAGCCATCACATATGTGACTCCTACTACCCAGCCACACAACATTTAATCTTTCTCATTACAGCATGTAATTACAATCTTTGTCAATTTATCCTAACTTCTTTCAAAAACCTTCAAATTTAAGTGGTATAGACTGAGTAATTCTTCTGATCTCATAGAGCCATGGGTCTTGGTAATGCAATGTCTATTCCACTTCGATTAACTCCAAATGAAGGAGAGAGTTCTGCTTTGGATACTTGGCAATGTAACCATACACAGAAGACTAATCTTTCAATGATACAAGTTTAAGAAAACAAGAGGTGACTGGAACTCTGTTGTAATGAAATTACCCATGCATGGCAGTTTCAGGAAGGGGCATTTTTTCTTCTAGGAGCAGAGAGAGACATAGTGCCTTTACCCAATGAAAGTAATTGAGTGAATGATTTCACTTGTTTCTTCTTTGGACTGAATTATGCCTTTGCCATCTGTGGAGTGTGCTAAATACCACAGGGGCAGGAGGCTGTTTTCTCATGTCATTTATGTAATGGTAGTGTTGTCACTTGCCACCTTTGAGCAAAATCAATACGCAGCAAATGTTGGGCCAGATTTTCCACAGCTGAAGTGAAGTGGGGAATTGGGACAATTGTTCAGCTAAATTGAGCAGTTTTAAAAAGCAACACTTTACTTCAAATTACTCAAAATGGTTTAGGGAACATTTCTAGTTGCTCTGGCCTAACTTTGTTTCAGTTGTTGGTATCTGGCCACCAAGCCTCTTGCTGGGGCCACAGCAAAATTAAGTAAGCAAGGAATTTCCAGGGGGATACATTCTTTGTAAACACTGGAAGGATAGCTAACAGGGAGGAGAACTAGACAGGAAGAGAAAATAAATTTCTCAAGAATAAGATGGGCTTCCTTGGGAAGTGCTCAGTTATGTGGGCAGGAAGTGTTCTAGAAAACTATAGTGTCAACACAATGGCTCAATTGGCTAGTCTTCTTCTGATTATAAGTGGTAGCATCCCACATGGGCACAAATTCATGTATCAGCTTTTTCACTTTCCATCTAGCTTCCTGCTTCTGGCCTGGGAAAGCAGTGGAGAATGGCTGAAGGTCATGGGACCCTGTATCCACGTGCAAGAAGTTGAAGAAGCTTCTGGCTCCTGGCGTCATATTGGCTCAGCTCTGGTTATTGCCACCCCTTGGGGAGTGAACCAGCAGATGGAAGAGCTTTCTCTCTGTCTCTCCTCTCTTTAAATCTTTCTAGCAAAAATAAATAAATTTTTAAAAAGGGAGAAAAAAGGATTGGTCATATTTTCTCAAACTGAAGGCCACAACTCATAAAAGTCTTATGAAATCAATTTAGTAAGTTGTGATTATCATTTTGTTCTAGTTGGAGTGGAGTGGAATGAAACAAAAGAGAATAAAATTAGCCAAGGCCACTGCTACAGAAATCAGTATCGTTCTGTGAAACTTTACTTTAAATCATACATGCACATGCCAGGTCACAAGATAAAGATATCTTTTCAGTCTGGGTCCTAGTCTAAAAGGTTAAGAAGAAAAACTAGAATAGGAATCTAGATGAAGGGATGCAAGTATTGGCTGGTACTGATGGAACTACACAATTATTAAGGTCCAGATTAAAAAGGGAAACAGCTTGAATAATCTCTACAATTCTTTCATGGATAGTGAGGAGGAAAAAAAGACTACTTTTTCTTACAATATATAAAATGGCAAGTTTTACAGACGTGTTTAAGTGGTATCTCAAAATATGAGCTCCTGACATGATAAAGATCAGAAATCAAGTCTATAGAAAGGTAAGACTTATGTAATCCAATCCATGTTTTTCAAGTATCTGGTTTACAAAAGGGCAGGTATGAATTTGAAGGTGCTCCTCTTATGGCCATATTATCAAGGTAAACACATAAAATGGCCAACAAATCACAATAGTGGATAAGCAATGACTGCCTCTTTTCCTGTTCAAGAAAAACCTAAACGTCTCTCAATTTAGAGCTTTGAATGCTTACCAAATTTTATTAACATCAGTCCATCAGATATTGTATCTCCCTCATTTACCACATAGGTACAGAGTAAGGTCTTCAAGGATAAGATAGGGAGCTGAATGATTTTATATTGTCAAGTCAACATGATACATGGATTCAGTAAATGCTTGGTGATGTTTAATGAATACATTTTAAAATTACAACAACCTCAAAGAGTACTCAATCATATGGAGAGAAAGGAAGAAGGATGGTAAAGAGAGAAAAGAAGATTGAGTTAGAACAATATAGGCTCAGCAAAATCAAAAATTTGTCTGGCAATTCAGAAAGGGAAAGTTCAGCTTAGACACAGAAGTATTTTGTTTCCTGATCCTCTTCTCTGAAATCTCAGCAGTGACATCAACAAGACATGAACTCTCAGGAGCCTGATAACTCATACTCCTCATCATCTTATGGACTGGTAAACCTACTTACATAGTCTATAATATTGCTCTTCAACAACTAATAGCAGAATAAACTTTCACCCAGGATATTCTGGAGGGATTTAAGCAGTAGAGGAATGGAGAGAGAGGACAAAGAGACTATTAATTGTAGAAGACTCTGCCTCAAGATGTGGCAGAGGAAATGACCACCCAAACAGGAAGCAGAGATCTTGGTTTTCTAAACCAGCCAACTTTCTGTATTCCTCTAAGGCATTAAAATCAGATATACTCCAATGTGGGGTAGTGTTTAGTTCTTAGAAAAAGGGATTTAGAGCCAGACTTTTGACTATTTTATTCTTGGCTGTGCCACACAATCTTACTGTAGCCTTGGCAAACCTTCCTTTCCAACATCTTGAGGCCCCCTTTGACAAACCTGTAAAATGTCTGTGAATATTGGAGTGTATGAAGCACAGATAGCATTCAAAGTGTAGGCAGAACTGTGGGACCAGTGGAGAAATGGTCAAGGCATTAACAAACATCGTGTTCCAATGAAGAAGGCAGACTCCATCCCATTAAGGCATGAGTATTTGAAAGTCTCTGAAGAGGCAATCAGGAGCCACGTGATATCTTCTGTGTAGTAAAACAGGCAAGAACAATACAGACCCATACAGCCATACTCTAAGAAATATATAAAAACACCGAATGTGCATAAGGACACATACATAAAGACAACAGCATCTTAAATTCCTTTATATCCATCCATGATTGTCATTTTTCTGCCTTTGAAATGCTGTGTACAATTTTAAACTTTTTCAGTTGCAAAGACTGTTAGCGATCATGAAGTCCATTCCTTGTGCCAAAATAGGACTCTTAACTTACAGTTTTCATGCAGGTAGTCATTCAACTTCTGTGCGAATGTTCTCAGTGACTGAGAATTTACCATCTTTCAAGAAAGCTCTATCAAATGATACTATAACAAAAGACATACTATGGCAAAAGAGAAAAGCAAAGCTATACAGTGAGAATAGGATGCCCAACTTCCAAATTTGGCTAGTCTTGAGGGGTTTCCCTGGATGCTGGACTTCTCAGTGCTAAAAGTCTCAGGTGTCTTTGGGTCTCAGGTGAATGTCACCGTTCTTTCACCTTAGTTGAGAAAAAAAATAATGCACCAACTGGAAGCTACAAAAGCTATTTACTCTCCTGTTAGATACTATCTTCCTGGAAGATACATCCTTTGGATTCAAAGGTTGGAGAAAGTTGTGGGATTAACATGATTAATTGTTCTAGGAGTTTACTTCTTAAGATAATTGTTTTTATTTGACTTTTGGCATGGCTGATTCATTGTTCTGGAGGAAATGGAAGGATTTTTCTGAGTTAACTAATGATGACTACACAAGAATAAGACAACCTGTCGACAGCAATGTCTCTCTCACACACCAAAATGTGTGACCCAGTCAGCAAATAAAATAGTAAGTCTGGAGAAAAGAAACAGGAAGAAAACAAGAGCAGTTATTTGATCTGCCTTTGGAATAATGATCTCAAAAAAATTTCAGGTGAGCAATTTAATATTCAAAAAGCAGTAAACTTCCCAACAACAATGAATAAACATGACATTCATTAAGAACTCATGCTCCCTGAAGGAATTCTATCCCTGCTGGATTTGTTCAGTAAGATCTGTAGGGGACAAAGTGTCATGAGTAGACGCTAAGCATAACAGAGGAAAGCCAGAGGAACCCAGCATAAGGAGCTGGTCTCTGGGGGAATGGGTGTTCTGTATGGAGTAACTACAAGAATGTTTTAAGAAGGAGTAAGAGTCATACTATACACGAAAGAGGAGGGTATGCAGGAAAAATGGAAACTCGTGTATGGAGATCCACACCTTTACAAGTAGAGAAGTCATTAAACCACATATGTGAGTCATTTAACAATTTACTAAAAAGTTATAGAGTCACACAGAATAAAAGAGTCTCAATTCCTGGTTTCTCGTCTCAAGATTAATGGAGGAGGAAAGTGGGGAGGGGGAACACACAGTGCTGCCGTCTGCATTCTTTAAATTGTGGCAGCTTCACTTTGCATAAAGTAAGCAATTCCTCAGTGGCA